AAATGAAAGGGACCTAGAAGCCTAGTAATCTTTTATAAACATTTAAAAAACACATGCCCATGTAAAATATAATTTGAGAGGCTGATTAGAATCCTGTTATTGGCATACTTTGCAAAACTGTTCAGTTGATTATAGGACAGCAGAACAGAAAAAATAGTAACAGGAGTTAGAACAATGTTCCAGCTTCAGTTCTGTCATTTATGGGTTTGGTCAAGCTTTTTGGGCTCATATGACCTATAACTATCTCTTTAATGGGCATATGATTCAGCCATTCTATGTTAACAATTAGAATGAAATGAAATCATGAATATGAAGGTGCTTTAGAAAACTACCAAATGCTATTCAGTTCAGAGAAGGCAGTGGCAACCCACTCCAGTGTTCTTTCCTGGAGAATCCCAGGGACGGCGGAGCCTGGTGGGCTGCTGTCTATGGGGTCGCACAGAGTCAGACATGACTGAAGCGACTTAGCAGCAGTAGCAGCAGCTATTCAGTTACAGGGAACTTGCTACTTAAAGAGTACTTTCAATGAAAACTTCAAAATAATTCATATTGTTTTCTGCTTCAAGGACCAAATATGAAACTCAGCAAAATTGTACATAGCCTTAACAACTGATTTGGCCATTCTTGTTTTAACTCTTAAAAATCTCATTCTGAGAAAAGTAGATGACCAAATTTGCTAAAGGTCAGCAATTTCAACAGATAAACTACCACTAAATAGGAAAAATGACCTTAGAAGCTAATATTACCCTGTCTACATTTCATATAAAATTTTCTGTGATTAGGGTAGAAGACAGGTTACCAAGTTTTTAAATCTATTGCACTATTTAATTGCTGAATCCACTATTTGATTACTGAATACATGACATTAACAAAACTTTAATAGTTACCTTTGAATTAACTAATTTCCCTGAGCTCATAGCTGTCATTAAGACTTTTTGGCATCCTTTTCTTAAGGAAAAAAATAAGCCAGCTCAAAAAGAGGTACAGAGAAGAAAGCCACTTGTTCGTCAAACCCTAATAAAAATACAGAATACTACTTTATACCCAAGAAGTTCCATATCAATCTAAATATTATGAGAATAAAGATTAAATAAGAAATCATTAACATATTGTAAACATTTACTCAAAGAAGAAAAAGAAAGGAAACAACTAGTTAGCTAGCTCCAGGTAGATGAACAAAATAAGACTGGAAATATTTCATCTTCTTTTACTGGGAGTGAACTATCTCAAAATAAGAGGCTGACTTCTATCACAGAGAATAATTTAAAACACAACTACTGGTAGAAGATTTTTCCCTCAAATTTATAAATCAATGTAACATGAGAAAATAATTCATTTAATATTCAATGCTGAATGTAAAGCCCAGAATGTGACAGAGCTCTTTGCATTTCAAAATAAAAACCACTAATCTTATTAAAGTTGTTCTCTTTGCTTGTTCTTTTCCACTTGCTTCTCTAACCAGTGTTTTAAGTGCTTTTAACAAGTTATGGTCAAGCAGGTACCAATCTGAAGGGACTCCAAATGGTTAAAGATAGTAATATAGGATCAAAAAAAGGTATAAAAAGTGTTATCTTCCAGACTACAATGGACTGAAATATATCAACAATCCTAAAAGCTATCAATTTACACTACAGTTACCTGTAGTGTATGATGATTTAAACACAAAAACAAAAAACCCCTACAAGTCACCTTCAGAAGTTGCTAAGGCATCAACTTAATAAAGTTACAAAATACAGGAAAAAAAATTAAGCATTATCATGATTCCTATATGAACTATGTATTTCAGGGTAACCTCACAACCAATGAAAATTCTTTTCCACAGAAAAATTCCAGCTAATCAATGCAAAGGAATGACAGAGTTAGAGAATCACCATTTTGCAATCTCTGAAGAAATATTCAGGTGATGATGAAAGGTTGCTAAGCTGTTAAGTGGATCTGGCTGATGGAAACAACTAGATATGTGTCTCCTGATATGGTGCAGCAGAACTATATAACCAAATAACAAAGCAAACAAACAACAAGATCAAACCACCAAATTTAATTACATTTTACAGAAAATTCAGAGAACAGAGGAACACATTAAATACCATCATGAGGAAGAATTCATCAGTCAAGAATGTGGGATACTCAATAGGACAAAGTTTCTTTCACAAATACATGTAGAGAAGAAGAAAAAAAAAAGAGGATGGTAAAAATGGTTCCATATCAAAAGACGTATCAAACAAATAATGGATCTTATTTGGACCTTGATGTAAACACAACTGTAAAAAGACATTTAGGTAAATTAGGGAAATTAGAGTAATGAGAATTATTAAATGTTAAAAGGTATGATTTTGATATTGTGGCTATAAATGTTTTTTAAAAAGGAATCTCTTAGAAATTTCACATTATAATATGGAATATAAGATTACTTTTTCATGCTTCTGACTTCAGTATATTTTAAAAGTCTGCAAATCTTAACAAAAATATTTAGGTTATAAAAAAAATGGAACAACCAAAATCTATCAGTTGAAATACTGATTCTTCAATCATAAAGTGACTACTAGTCATCCTACTAAAAATATTTATGTTCATTAAATTACAACTATTTTTTAAAAATGAAACATCTCCTGGAAAACCAGAAGCACACATGTTGTTATTAGCTTTTTCTGTCAATCAAGTAGCTAGCAGTAGCAAAGGCATATGATAGGTGGCTTAAAAAAAAAAAAAGATGCTTCATCTAGTATTTTAAGACTGTAGCTAGCTAGACCTACCAATAACTATAATGGTTACATGTCTTAACATCTCATAAGAAAATCAACTGGAACTAATTAATTCCAGTCAATTTTAATGAAATGGAAAATTTATCTCTATTTTATAGTATTATATTCTTAGTGTATGACCACAGTAAGATTATTTTTTACATGGCTATGCAAATTCATTTCCTTAGGTATTTTATAAATCAGCAGCCTTGATAGCCTAACTTATGGCATAATCCACTTCAGGAATACACAATTTAAAATATATTTTTTAGACCAGAGAGCATGTTAAAGTCTTGCATCATGAGTCAATGATATGAAAGTGAAGGACAGATTATTTTCATGAACACTATGTGAAAAGCAAATTTATGAAATCTACTGAATTATTTCAATTTGGCAGGGTCTATTCCTTGTTACCAAAAAAGGCTGCTAGTTATAGTATGACTAAAGTTAAAAGAAACTAGGGAATCTCAAAAGAAAATAATCTACAGACAATTTCAATCAGAGGTGTATTAAAATACCAGATTTCAAGGTGAGGCTAACCTAAGGAGTTAAGCTTAAACTGTGGGCAGAAAAGTATCAGAGTACAATGTAGAACTCCTGGCCCACATGATTACTCCTCATAACTGACTAGAATTCATTCCATAAGCATTTATATACCTGGATTCTTTATAGTCAAAAAAATCTAGACTGTGGTTTAATTGGAGACATCTAAAAGGTCATTATAATCCAATTTCTAAGCAAGTTACATAGAATAATGCCATTTACACAGGCACTAAAGCACTACATAAGCAGTTAACAGTTGACAGAAACCTGATCTGAAACTTACCTATGAAAAAAATGACAGGACATGACAAATATAATCTTAACGAATAAAACACAAAACTATTATGAAATGCCTATCTCAGTTATGTTTTGTTCCAAATTTTGGTGTCAAAGTCTCAAAGGCATGTTTTAATGTTTTAAATGGGAGTAGTAGGAGTGGGTCTGAATAGAAATAATAAAAATCAAGAACTGAATAGCTCCTGTGACTGAGAAAAGATAAATGAAGGAAGGTGGTAGACTAAAAACTGGTTAAGTTTACACAAACAGTGCTACAAACCAGGTCTGAGGACCCCATTCAAATAAATTAATTGGTTGCATATAGTTAATATCCCCAAAAGAGCAAAGGCTCAGAACTGGGGTGGAGGACCAGTCTTTTTAAAAAAGAATCTAGCCCACTTTGTAATAAAATAAGCCTAAATGATGATCACTGTTAAAGATTCCTTTGTTACATGGGCACTTAACTACATTACTGAGCTTTCGGAAAAAAGAGCTATAGCCTTATGACTGGGGGAGGGGCTCAAACATAATCACTAACTTATATTTGCTTTCAAAAGCAAGCATTACTCTTTAAATCACAAGCTGATTAATATCTTTCCAAGCATATATAAAAATCAGCAACAGAACTCCTCAATTTTAAGTAGAAATGACTAGGATCAGAAAAATCCAAAACCTAATTTTAATAAAATACTTTGAAGAGACAGGGATTCATACACAGCCTCTGATATCCAAAAACCCTTCAAAATATCCTGTTAACTACATGGTTAAATACATCTTGGAGCAGGAAAAAGGGAACCACCAATTCAAATAATCCTGGGCTGGGGGCAATTTTAATATACAAATATAAACCAAAGTTCTAAATGTCCCAACTACAAGGATACAAAAAACCTAGAACATTTTTTCTTAAACAACATATTCAAAAGTAACAGAAGTACATGGACCAAACCCATACATGGTAAGATTCTCTAACTCACAAACATACTCAATTCATATACCCTGATATAACCCTTTGGTAAAAGGCCAAAGCAAACACCATCATACTAAATTATTTAAAGTTCAATAACTATGTGATTAACATTTTGCTTTTGGTGTGCACAAACTTTTGATGGTGAAATTTATTTCACTATCACATATAAATAACTGACTTTTCAGATGAACTAAAACACACACAAATCAAAAGCACAGACGAGAAAAAACACACCACTGTATTTCATAAAAGGAATAAAAAATACAATAGGGGTCTTTACCTTACTGTACATCAGACCCTCACTTTGAATTTTCACAAAAGTAGAACTTTTTCAAAAGGATAATATCTAAAAGCAAAAGCAATTTGGCATGTTTTATCCAACATTAAATATTTTACACATATCATAAAACATACACACAAACACACTTACATGTATACATACGAATAAAAAGGGTTTTGGTTTTTTTTTTTACCTAAATGCAAACTGGATGAGGATCCATGTGATGAAAGTGATGGCGGTGGCGTAAGTGAATGTCCTGGAGTTTGGCTTGGCAGAGGCATGCCTATTGGACTTGGAGAGGAGGAAAATCCCAGACTATTGTAAAATGGTTGCCCTATGGGTGCTAGGCTGCTACTAGATCTTTTGTACAAGTCAGAGCTAGTAGATAGAGACTCTCTCCTTGTGGCACTACTACTTGCAGAACTGCCAACTGAAGAAGAAATAAAAAAAACCCTAATTACATACAGTGTTAACTGAATAAAACCTATCCCCAACTCTTGCTGGGAAATAACAGAAGTGATCACAATAATTATTTTTAGAAACATAACAGAGAAGATAATTACTGTGATAACTATATATACTGTGATAAGTATATATACTAACTTATTAATCATAAAAGGGTATAAATGCACCCCAGGAAAATGACCAAATATTTACCAGCAGTCATATGATCATTATTTCACACATATTTACCACTGACACATATGATTACTGTGCTTTAATACCCTGGTATGATTTATAAACCCTGAAACTTTAAGTTGTCTGCTATGCTAGAGATTAAATTCCAATAAAGTTATATTTTGGTAGTATCCTAACCTTTGGAACCAAGTTCTTAGACTTCAACCCAATGCCAAGAAAAGATTATATTGATAAACAGAATATTAACACATTTCCCCTGCCATTCATATTTGATTTGGGTTCCAGCTTGTGTTCAAACCAGTCCTTTAAGTCCATATTGGCCCGAATATTAGTCAGCTGTGAAATACAGTGGCAGCTTACTCCTCAGTACTTTTCGCACTACACATTCTCCTGATTCTTCAATAGCTAAATTACAAAATACATATTGGAAAAACCAAACTTTAACTGCTAGCTCTGTTTTCAACCAAAGACATGCATTCACTTACCCCTCGAGATCTTCCATTCTTAAGATGATAGTCTGGCCTCGTGAACTGCTTACTTAGGTAAAGGTATTACATCCCTTACTGTACTACATACCAATTTCTTGTTTTTCACTTAATCCCCAATTCAACTATTAACTTTCTAGTCCTTTTTTCATTTTATAAAATCATAAAAGAATGGTAGGTTCACATTACCATGTAGCTATGCAACCCGAGATCTGGCTATTAATCAACATATACTTGGATAATCAAATTTTTTACAAAGTGTTTTTAAAAGGGTTGTCCAAAACTCCCAATTCACAAGTCTCACTTAGAGCCTGTATTTTCAAGTACACTTTTTTTTTTTAAACTGTCTCTAAGCCTTTTAAACCAAATCTTTTTGTATTGAAGACAATATCATATTACATTTTTTAACCTGTAAAGTTTTTAAAAGACAAGCTCTATATTCGGACCAATATGGTTAATTCTTTTAAAGAAAATTTTAATAGGTCAATTATAAATAGGTCATAAGGGTATAGATTAAAGAGAAAAATTAAGCAGAGCACATGATGGTAGACCAAGGTAAGCTTATTAATACAGAAAGAAAACTTAATTACACTGGTTTTACCAAAACGAAAATCCTATAAAGGAAAAATACCAGGCTCATACTACTGTACTAAGCAAAATATTATATTAACAGTATTCAACCTTTTAAACCAGTGAATGCGGTTTCTGAAGGACTGATCAGGTTTTAACGAAATTCTCACTTTTTAAGATATATTATAGGGAAATACTAAGTAACTATATGCATTTTTAATACAACAAATAAATACTACTGTAAGAATGGTTGTGGCAAAATTGTCAATGTATGCTATAATAACTATGCTAATTTAAAAGGACACTGTCAAAGTGATTTTTCTAAAACATGGCTACATTTGTAATTTCTATTTCAGAAAACATTTAACTGACAAGGAAAAAGACAAAAGCCCTCTAAATGAGAGCAGCAGTACTATCATTCCCCTGGCAAATAATCAAAGAAACCACAGTTTTGACACATGCAATATCATTTTCCTCTAAAAAGGAAAAGCCAAGCAAAACATTTAAAAGAAATAGCTTTACTTTAAACATAAACACGTTGGCTTCTTAAATTTTACTATCTGCCTAAATTATCTGCAACAGTATGACTATAAAATATAAAACAAAATATACTTAAAATATTTAAGAGGCTAGATAATGACAGTGGAGTCACTAATCATATATCAATTGTGGATAAAACGTTAAATCACGAGGTTTCAACTGTAAAAGAACATTCTAAATAACAGGTTATAGAAACGGTGATTTAATCTCTATATTACAATGGCTAAGCTTCCTGGCGATCTGAGTTATAAACCGGGGTATTTAACACTGTTAAGCATTAATAATTTCATCATATGGGTAAGAGAATGACTGTGTACATGGTACTGTATATGTACATGTGCATATAAGCATATTTCAGATTTCATATAGATATGGAATTGCCATAATGTGAAATGGTAATGGGTATATTTCAAAGGGTACATAAGTGCAGCACTTGAATGAACGCTCACAAGATGTCCAAGAGGAGGGAGATGATAGGTTTTTTTACTGGTATTTAGGGATAGCAATCGTTCATGTCCTCTGAAGCAAGGTAAAACAGAGGTACCCAAGTTGGAAATCAGAATGGAATAAAGCAATGCTCATAAATAAGGGAGAATGAAGATAATTTTTTGGCAGAGGCATCTGCAGGGGACAACTATGGAGAACAAAATGTTGATGACTAATCAGTTCCTGAATACAGGGGGAAGGGTCTTAACAAATAAAGAGACAGGGAAATTTGGGAGTATACCAGACTATCAGTGACATTTTATTATTACAAAGGGAACAGAATATTTATCTTTTCTCTATTTTTCCTGTATTATTCAGGGCCTACAAATCTACAGAAACCAGTTATTTCCACAAAAGTTTTTTTTTTAAGTTATCTGTTCTTTTGATTTTCTTCAGCAATCTAGGATTATCTGGGGTAACTGCTTGTCAACTGTTAGAAAGAAAAAAGTGAGTCTATGAGAGTGCCTGGGCTACATATTAAAATACTAAGCTCCAAACGTAATGAAACAAATCAAATAGGAAAATTAAAAGACTGAATAGTCTCTATGTTCACTAGATTTTTCCTGAGAAGTTCCCATGCCCATTCTTTAGGCAATTTTTTTATTAGGCAAATACGATATTTCCTTTTTGTATCTCATTATATCAAAAGAATTATGCACCTAAAAGTTAATAGGTGTTCTGGACCATCCCTATTGAAAACGTTCAAAGAGTTAAGAAGATACTTTCTTAGAAATCTGGCAAAAATAGTAATGACTGGCATGTGTTAGTTTGGCCATTTTTTCACACCAAAAAAGAATATAATTTCATGTGGTGGGAAAACAGACTAGAAGCAGATTCTAAAGACTCAAGGACACCAGAGAAATAAAACATTTCTTGAGGTGTGAATAAATGTCCCTCATAAAGAAAAGGCTGTCAATTATACCAAGAGAATGAGAGTAAGCTGTTTTTTCCCTGTTTCCTGAACACTCTGGAAATACCAGAGACTGATAATACATGTGTCAACAGGGTGTCAATGTGGGCCTCTTCTGATTTCAGCTCTTTCTCAGTTACAAAATCAGTTTCTGTGGGTACATTATTTATTTTGTGAAGCTATTTAAAATTTGGACTTCTTAAGTATTATGTATAAAACTAGGATACGAAGCGGGCAGGAGTCTTTTTAAACATATTTTTAGTGATAAAGGCTAAGCTGTTTAACCTAAAATAAAGACAGGCATCCTTATTGTAGGGGCTTCTGTTTAGAACATTTCATTATATTTTATTTTTATATATTATACCAAATAGGGACCATAAATATTCATTAACATTTAATAAGAATAAATCATCTGATGAGCACACAGATAATTATTATTTTAAAATATCAGAAACTTAAGATAGCAAAGTTTTTACTGCGTCAAACATTAATATTATAGGGAAAAGGGAAGAGCTAGTAACAAGCATAATGTATATTAGCCCAAACAAATCTTACTAAAACAAAAATTACAGTAGTATAATTCTTAAGGCCAGGGGAAAATGTATTATACTTGAGTAAAGAATGGGCTGCGTGAAATGGGTTAAACATTCATAAACACTCCAAGAGGTTTCTGTCTACAAAACTAAGCCAATAAACCAGTATCTTATTCTTGTCCTTTCTACACTACAAGCTATTGTTCATATTAATACTAAAAACAAACACATGTACCTCATGTCCACTTAGCAGAGTACACTCATCTTGAAAAGAAACGTACCTGATGAACCAAATCCACTGAGGGCTGACCCTATAGCAGCACCCAGAGAGCTACTGCTTCCAAAGCCAAGAGATGTACTTCCAGGTTGGCCAGGTCCATGAGAAAATAAAGAACTGCTCTGGGAGCTATTAGTCAGAGAAGTGCTCCCATAAAATGAATTAGACTGCAGATTAGTGCTTGGCGGCTGCTGCTGCTGCTGCTGCGGTGGTGGCTGAGTGCCAATTGGCCGGAACAGACCATTTGTGCTGCCTGTGAGACTATTCGCAGTTCCTCCAGCTGCTGCTGCCGCTGCTATAAAATAAATTTCAGATACTTCTTGTAACTACCCAGAAAAACATTTTCTATTTTTAAAATATCTCAAACACCACCAGAAAATTATTATCCCTGAAAATGTCAGTTACACTTACCAGCTTGTGCTGCTGCTGAACTAATTAAAACAGGTGTTGGAGCCATTAACCGAACTGGAGCTCCAAGGCCAGTTCTTGCTCCAGGGCCAACCACTAAGGCACCAGTCTGATCATAATAGGCAGTTGGAGCTAGTACTTGATAGCCTAGATAATAGCAAAATAAATGTTTACCAATGAAAACATTAATATAGAAAGCATGTTATTTACTTTCTCCCACAGTTGTTTTTATCAACCAGCAAACACAGCTATTTTTACTGTGAATATAAAACCATTAGTTACTATATAAAAAGTAAACACATCTGAGAAGGTATTAGTAAATAAAAGAAAATCTAACAAAGCCTAAATATAAATATGGACCACAGAATGATGAGATATAGTCTTTGCTTTTGAAACTGTAAGTAATCAAGGGCTGATGCTTGAAAATTATTACCACCAATTAGTTCTCCTGAGAGGAGAATGGATAAAGACTAAGGGAATTGAGAGAAAGCAGTGTAAGATTCATTAGGCAATTTTAGTAAATTTCTAAACCAAGTGCCTCACTGACAGCGTTTCCTTAGATTTTCACTTGCAAGCAATCCTTTAAAGATAAAATCATGATATAAACAGGTAACTTAAAATCATAAAGTTTAACAGTCAATTTGTAAAGGGTCTCAAGCTAGAGTTTGAATAAAAATCACATAGGCATTAGTTGTATACAGCCTTGACCACAAGGCCGGTGACAATTTGCACTGTTCAGAACTATACGAAGAGTAGTTTCTCTCTTCACAGACTTTCTCAGTTCCTCATCTGATCCACAGAACAGAATATGATTATTTCGAACAGAAAAGTGACTTTTTTGCCGATTTTCTCAAAGATGATCCAAAATAACAAATACCACTCAAGATGCATGGGAGAGAAATTAACTATATCTCTCTATATCTCTCTCTCTATATATATACATATACATACATTCATACAGTGGCTATTTTAAGGCAATAGGTTTATTCTCTCCCAGGAGTCAGGTTAAGAAATGTTGTCTTATACAGTAACAAAGACTCAGGCTCAAAAGTGTGAGGACCACTTGCAAAAAAGTACTAGCAATATTGGATATTTTAAATTTAAACACCACCTTCCAAACTAGGACCAAAACTTTCACATGTAAAGGCTGTTTTAATAAAATGCAGTAACTCTGATTCACAATTGCAGCTTTATTGCAATGGATATGAATTAGAGGAGGACCAGCCAAATGAAGGGCTGCACTGGGCAAAATCTAGGAGGGAATGACCTCTCCTCTTAGAACTAATTGGTAATAATTTTCAAAGACCTCTCCTCATAGAATGAACATGATAATTTGAGAAATTATCAGATATCCTACTGTAACTGTCATATAGAATATGCAAGTCTGGAGTTTAATAGAGAGGTTCAGGTTGGATTTACAAATAAGGGAGTGGTCAACATAAGCATGGTATTAGCTAAAAATGATCCAACCACCAAGAAAATAAAAGGGTAGGGCCTACGGCCTGGAGGGTACTTCACTTTAAGAGGCTGGAGAGAGGAGGAACCAGAGAAGACACTGAGAGGAAACAGCCAGGAAGGAAAAAAACCAAATCAGAACACAGTGGTCTCCTGGAGGCCAAAGAAAAAAGAATTTGAATGAAGACTGAGTGATTAACAACGCAAAATGCTGCTAAAAGGCATTAAGAGTTGAGAACCAGACTAATGAATTTAACAATACGGAAGTCATTCTGATAAGGATGATAGTCAGTGTGGTGAGTTTAGTAAAGAATGGAAGAACCATACAAGTATAGAAATGCTTTTGAATTTTGCTGTAAAAAGGACCAGAGTGGAGCTACAGAAAAGGGGCTGGGAATAAATTTTTTCTTAACCAGAAAATGTTCTTGTTTAGCAGAACATGATACTTCTTAAGTGTTTAAAACATTTATTATTGTGAAATAAAACAGAAAAAGTGCAAAAACCAAAAGTACATTATAATGATTACAACACAAAAGAGTATAACCTCCATGCAAGTCAATAATAGAAATAGAAAACTGCCTGGTACCCACCTCTTGTAAATCCCTGCTTTACCACAATCTTCTCTTTCCCTTTGTTGCTTAATCCCTAAGTCATGTCCGACTCTTTGTGACCCCATGGACTTGTAGCCCGCCAGGCTCCTCTGTCCATGGGATTTCCCAGGCAAGAATACTGGAGTGGGTTGCCATTTCCTTCTCCACTTCTCCAGGGGATCTTCAGAGTTACACAACATCTTACTTCCCACCTTACTTCTCTCTCTAAACAATCATTTGACTTATTTAAAAAATTTTACATGCAATTCATCCATATTGCTATACTTTGTTTCCATTTTCACTATTGTGTAGCACCTCACTAAACAAACACCAGGATAAATTTATCCATTCTACATTTACACTGTTCCCAGTTTGGGGTCCTTGTCAACAGTACTACTATAAACATTTTCATATGTGTATGCTGGTGTGTTATGAGTACATACTTCTCTAACCTAAGATGTATAGCAGCTGACACCCTGAGTTAAAGGGTATGCGTATTTTCAAACTTTGGTAATAATGCCCAAACTGCCTTCAAAGTGGTTGTGCAAATTTACACACTTACCCACCTTAGTATTAAGAGTTCCACTGCTCCCTGACTTTTTCCCCCCATTTACTTTTATTAGTTGGAGTCTAAATACTTTACAATATTGTAGTGGTTTTTGCCATACAATGACTTTTAAAATACTTGATAAACTATCAGACTTTTAAAAACTGGCCAATCTGAAAGACAAGAAGAAGCATTCAGTTGTGGTTTTGACTTTCTTTGACCAGAAGGAAGTTGGGTGTCTTTTATATGCTAATTGTGCCTCAGCATTTCCTCTCAGGAAAAAACCTGTTCAAAGTTTCTCTCACCCATTTTCCTACTGGCTGTCTTTTGTTGTTGATTTATTTTTAATTTATTTATTCTATAAAATAATTTTATTTTTGGCTGTGCTGGGTCTTTGTTGCTTCAAGGGCTTTTCTCTAGTGGTGTGGGGGTTTTTCTTTGCCGTGGCTCCTGTTGAGGAGCATGGGCTCTATGGCATGAGGTCTTCAGCAGCTGCGGCTCAAGGGCTCAGCAGCTGTGCCTCCGTTTCTACAACACAGGCTCAACAGCTGTGGTGCACGGACGTGAGGCGCTCCGTGGCATATGGGATCCTCCTGGATCAGGGATTGAACCTGTGTCTCTCACACTGGCAGGCAGATTCTTCACCACTGAGACACCAGGGAAGCTCTCTTATTGATTTATAATTTTTTATGTATGCTGTATTCAAGTGTTCCACAGTTTCCTCTTTCATTCCGAGCCTGACCTGTCCTTCTCTTTATGGTGACTTTTGAAGTAATGGGTTCAAATTTATTATTTCCTTTATTTTCATAACAAAATTTCCCTATATTATCTTCTAATAACCTTTAAAATTCCACTTTCCCACACAGGTCTAAAATCCAAAATGTAAATGATTAATGAACACAGGGTAAGTCACGGATCCCAATTTGAACAATTTGTTGTTCAAAGAATCAATTTTCTTTATTTCGCCTTATTTATAAAACAAGTTCTTCCTCCCTATTGCTTTTTGCTGTTTTTTTGGGGGGGAATTAATTAGGTAGTTGTCCCTTCCTTTTGGGATCTCATTTTTGGGGTCTCTATGTCTCTCCATGCAGTAATTCAACTGCAGCTTTAAGAGTAAAATTTTACCCTAGAGTATAAGTCAGAATAGACCAAGTCCTTCTACTCATTTTTGTCCTTAAATAAGAGTATTGTGGCTAATCTTGACTCTGCATTTTCATTAAATTTTAGTATCAGCTGTCAAAGAAGCCCACAGTAAGAACCCACTGGGTTCTGATTGGAAATGCATTGAAACTATAGGTTGATATGGGAAGAATCGGCATGTTTAAAACATTGAGTTGCCCAATGGTATTTAGGTCTCCTTGAACAAAGCTAGTGGAGGTGATGGAATTCCAATTGAGTTATTCCAAATCCTAAAAAGATGATGCTGTGAAAGTGCTGCACTTGATATGCCAGCAAATTTGGAAATCTCAGAAGTGGCCAGAGGACTGGAAAATGTGTTTTCATTCCAGTCCCAAAGAAGGGCAATGCTGAAGAATGTTCAAACTACTGCACAACTGTGCTCATTGCACACACTAGCAAAATAATGCTTAAAATTCTCTAAGCCATCCTTCAACAATATGTGAACCATGAACTTCCAGATATTCAAGCTGGATTTAGAAAAAGCAGAAGGGTCAGAGATCAAATTGCCAGCATCCGCTGGATCATCTAAAAAACAAGAGAGTTCCAGAAAAACATCTACTTCTGCTTTACTGACTACGCCAAAACCTGTGTGGATCACAATAAACTGTGGAAAATTCTTCAAGAGAAACTTCTGAGAAATCTGTATGGAGGTCAAGAAACAACAGTTAGAACTGGACATGGAACAATGCACTGGTTCCAAACTGGGAAAGAGTACGTCAAGGCTGTATACTGTCACCCTGCTTATTTAACTTAGAAACAGAGTACATCATGCAAAATGCCGGGCTGGATGAAGCACAAGCTGGAATCAAGACTGCCGGGAGAAATATCAATAACCTCAGATACACATATGACACCACCCTTACGGCAGAAAGTGAAGAACTACTAAAGAGCCTCTTGATGAAAGTGAAAGAGGAGAGTGAAAAAGCTGGCTTAAAACTCATCATTCAGAAAACTAAGATCATGGCATCTGGTCCCATTACTTCACAGCAAATAGATGGGGAAACAATGGAAATAGTGACAGACTTAATTTTTTTGGACTCCAAAATTACTGCAGATGGTGACTGCAGCCATGCAACTAAAAGACACTTGCTTCTTGTAAGGCAAGTTATGACCAACCTAGACAGCATATTAAAAGGCAGAGACATTACTTTGCCAACAAAGGTCCATCTTACCCAAAGCTATGGTTTATCCAAGAGTCATGTACAAATAGGAGAGTTGGACTATACAGCAAGCTGAGTGCCAAAGAATTGATGCTGTTGAACTGTGGTATTGGAGAAGACTCTTAAGAGGCCCTTGGACAGCAAGGAGATCCAGCCAGTCCATCCTAAAGGAAATTAGTACTGAATATTCATTGGAAGGACTGATGCTGAAGCTGA